ACATTTCAAATACGTAACTTAAAAATTCAGGGTTTTTAAAATAAAAATAAAAGAATAGCCAACAGCAACAAAAGTGGGTGGTAGGTATAAAAAGGTTGACTACCCCCGGTGTAAATTTTAGATTGCATTAGAGGACACTTAGAATTAATGGTTTGTTCTCTTCAGATGTGGGGATATAGAAACTGATTGTTTTCAATATGTATAAAAGGTTTGCAGAATGCACTTGCATAACGGAGGAGAAATACAGGTGTTTCCCCATTTTTAAATTTTTGTTTCTATTTCTTTTATTTATAAAAAAACAATGACTTCACCCCCTTCCTTCTGCTAGAAAGGATCTAATATTTTGGATATATTACCTGAGAGATCAAATTGGTTATCAGATCCTCAGTGGTTATGCTAATCCATGAACTGTGGCTGGATTTCCACAAAATTTAATGTACTACTAATGTATGACTTCAGCTAAAGAACCTCATAGTTAAATAAACTTTAGCCACTTCATTGTTTGGCTATGTGTATTTTATTTGTCATGTATGACTTCACATGGAAAGCATGCAGCTATTGCAATTGATAAGACAGAGTTTATAACTTAATGTATTGTGCGAACCAAGCCACAACAATTTATATTAGATCTTTCTAATCTGGGTTTTCAATTTTTTTTAGAAAACTAATAGATGGCAACAAAAAGTTAGTGTTTCTGTATCTCTGTGCTGCCCTCTAGAGGTCATCTGGATGTCATCTGGATCTCTTAGCCCTAAATTTATCTGACAAACCATGGCGAAATAAGGAAATAATTAATATTTATTAATGAATATTAATGTTTAATTATACTAATAGATAAATAAATATTAAATATGGAATATTAAAAGTGGTGCACTAGGCTACATGTTTTAACAATGTTCTTGCAAATTATATGAAAACTCCATTTTATACCGTAATCATAAATTATATAGAAATTTAGCTTGAGTTAGATAAAAATACTTTCTCAGTAAGGGAATTTGTGTTTTGTCTCCATTAGTATATGTGATATCTGAAAAGGGGACTTTAAACATGGTTGTGCTGTTAAATGTGTTCCTACATTCTAGCCTTTTTTCCTTGACCCCTCCCTCTTCCTCTTCCTCCTCCTCCTCCTCCTCCTCCTCCTCCTCCTCCTCCTCCTCCAATTTTCTCCATCACAGTGAGAACAAAGCTTGAAATAAATTGCTTTGTTTGGCACCTGGAACGCCAAAGGTGCTGTAATAAGCAAGAATTGCATCATAATCTTGCAATGGATCATTGAACAAGTTTGCAACGCAAGCGACAATAGATGTAATGAGCATAGAGAGGCAAACTGTGACCAATTTTATGTGCTGAAATGGCTCTCCAATTAGCTACAAATTTATTTGATAACCCTATCGATTCCAAGAACAAGCAACCTTCTTTGTAATGTGTACAGTTTGCAGAATAGATTTAATTAACCCAGCACGCTTAACAATTGTGCTGCAAATAGCTTGTTCAACAGTCTGGCGCTTTAGTTTACATCTGGTATGCATGGCTAAATAATTTGTTTTGTTTGGTTCATATTCTTTGGGGGATAATGATTAGTTTTTTTCTACCTACCCTTTGTGCTGTATTTTGCCAGACTTTTGTGTGTGGTTACTTAGGAAAACTTCCCGTGTTTGTTTGTTTGGGTATATGTATTTATATGTTTGTTTCTGTGTGTTTGCATTTAAACTTTTAGTTTAAGCTTTTTAAAAAAGTCTGTCTATTAAACAACATTACATTTAATTGTGTATATAAGGAGAAGG